AAAAAAAAAAAAGTTCTATATAATAGGCTGGGCACCCGATGCTCAGTGGCTAGGACACTGGCCATATAGACCAGGGCTAGTGGGTTCAAAACCTGGGCCTGCTTAAACAACAGTGACAACTACAACAAAAAAATAGCCAGGCATTGTGTCAGGCACTTATAGTCCCAGCTACTTGGGAGGCTGAGGCAAGAGAATCTCTTAAGCCCAAGAGTTTGAGGTTGTTGTGAACTGTGATACCACAGCACTGTACTGAGGGCAACATAGTAAGACTCTTGTCTCAAAAAAAAAAAAGTTTTATGTAATAAACATTCACAAAACTCTATCTTTAGTATACTAAGTACTTAGTCTTATATAGTATTTTTATATAATTGTTTTTCGTTATCACATTAGGCATTATTTTTAAGCTTTTGACATATTTTTCAAAATATACTTGGTTTATTGAGAGAAGATTAAAACTGTTTGTATCTTAGAACAATTACTGTAGATTTAGAAGAACATATGTATATTAGACTGAAATGAAGATTTTGGCCTTTGTAAGACTACATAATTTTGTAGAGTTGCAAGTTGAAGAAAGATGGTTGGTAAAATAATAAGTAGAAGCCGGGCACAGTGGCTCATGCCTGTAATCCTAGCATTCTGGGAGGCCAAGGCAGGTGGATTGCCTGAGCTCATGGGTTTAAGACCAGCCTGAGCAAGAGCAAGACCCTGTCTCTAAAAAATTGCCAGATAACGATAATTTAATATAAAAAAAAAAAGAAAGAAAAGGAAAAAAAAGTAGCTGGTGTTGTGGTGGGTGTCTATGGTCCCAGCTACTCGGGAGGCTGAGGCAAGAGAATTGCTTGAGCCACAGAGTTTGAGGTTGCTGTGAGCTGTGACACCAGGACACTCTACCAAGGGCAACAAAATGAGACTGTGTCTCAAAATAATAATAATTAGAGAAAGGCATAGATTAAAGAAATGCTGAAAATGGAAAGTAGACAGCTCACGAGAGGAAGTTTTATATGAGAGTAAAGATAGGAGAAAAAAATAGAACTAAGGGCATCTGTGGAATAGATTTTGAAGCATTTTAGAGGCATGTCTGTATGTCTGTATCTGTGACCTAACAGAGATAACACAATAAGTAATCTGAAGAATTAAACTCGTACTATTTTATGTAACTGATAAATGTTCTTTGTGTCTACTGGACAATACTTAGTGCTTCTTAATTTGTGCATATTTTTGCTAATACTTATTAACCTTTAATATATCCAAATGCTGATAACTGCTGACCTTCTGTCTCTACTCTGAGATTTTGCCTTTGCATCCTATCACCTAAACCTCAGACCTGCTGTTACCTTGTACCTTTCTACATTCTTTTCTTCACTAATAACCTCAGTCTCTCCCTATGTTTTTTGATCCTGCAACACCTTCCTGTTCAAATGACGAATCTGAGAACAGGAATTATTAATGTCAACAATTATTCTATTCTTGTGGTAAGGAAGCACTTCTAAAATACAGCTTTCCATCTTCAGTGCCACTTTTTGTCCCAAGTAAACAGACGAATTTTGAAAGCAGTGTCAAATTGTCTTTTCTTTTTTGAGACAGAGCCTCAAGCTATCGCTCTGGGTAGAGTGCTGTGGCATCACAGCTCACAGCAACTTGCAACTCCTGGGCCCCAAGGCCTGGCTATTTCTTGGCTGTAGTTGTCATTGTTGTTCGGCAGGCCCTGCTCTGGTGTATGTAGCTGGTGCGTTAGCCGCTTGAGCTATAGGTGCCGAGCCAGCAGTGCCAATTTTTTTTTTTTTTTTTTTTGCAGTTTTGGCCAGGGCTGGGCTTGAACTTGCCATCCCCAGTATATAGGGCTGGTGCCCTACTCCTTGAGCCACAGGTACCATATTTAAATACAGTCAAAGTAGTAGAATGTATAATGAAGTTATAGTGTGACCTGATCTGAAAGTCACCGTATGAGAAGTTGGAAAATGTCACCCGTGGACAGTGTTCTACAAATTATGCTTGGAAAATATGGTTTAAATAGAAGTATTTGTGTATAGTAGAAGTGTGTTGTGTTCAGAGGAAACAAATCCCAAATAAGAGGCTCTACTTATCTTAGTTTACTACAGGTTAAATATCCCTAATCCAATGCTCTGAAATCCCAAAATCTGAAACTTTTTGAGTGCTGACATGATATTCCAGGGAGATGCTCTTTGGAGCATTTTGAATCTTTGGATTAGGGATATTCAACTAGTATAGTGCAAAATATTCTAAAATGTAAAAGTCAAAATTCAAAATAGAAAACACCTTGGGTCCCAAGCCTTTAGAATAAGGAGTATTCGACCTGTATTTGAAGCAAGTTATAAGAGGGATATTGAAAATAAATGAAAACATATGCAAAAATGAAATATTTTCTGTTTCTAAATGCATGTAAGTACTGAACTTGACAACAAAAGGCTTTGGTGGTTTATAGTTTATAATCTACTTTAAGATAAGGTAATTTGGCTCAGCGCTCATAATGCAACGATTGAGGTGCCAGCCACATATACTGAGGGTGGTGGGTTCAAACCTGGCCTGGGCCAACTAAACAACTGCAACAAAAAAATTCCCGGGTGGGTTGGTGCCTGTGGCTCAGTGGGTAAGGCACCAGTCCCATATACCAAGGGTGGTGGGTTCAAACCCAGCCCCAGCCAAACTGCAACAAAAGCCAGGCATTGTGGCAGACACTTGTAGTCCCAGCTACTTGGGAGGCTGAGGCAAGAGAATGGCCTAAGCCCAGGAGTTGGAGGTTGCTATGAATTGTGATGCCACAGCACTCTACCGAGGGTGACAAAGTGAGACTCTATATCTACAAAAAAAAAAAAATAGCCGGGCATTGTGGCAGGTGCCTGTAGTCCTAGCTACTTGGGAGGCTAAGGCATCACTTAAGCCCAAGAGTGGGAGGTTGCTATAAGCTGTGATGCCACAGCTCTCTACCGAGAGTGACAAAGTGAGACTTGTCTCCAATAAATAAATGAGATGAGTTAAATTATAAAAAGTGTTGGTTTCTCTTTTCTTTTTCTTTTCTTTTCTTTCTTTTTTTTTTTTTTTTTTTTGTGACATAGTCTTACTTTATCACCCGTGGTAGAGTGCCGTGGTGTCACAGCAACCTCAAATTCTTGGGCTTAAGCAATTCTCTTGCTTCAGCCTCCCAAATAGTTGGGACTTCAGGCGCTGGCCACCATGCCCAGCTCTTTTTTAGAGATGAGGTCTTGCTCAGGCTGATCTCAAACCTGTGAGCTCAGGCAATCCACCCACCTCAATCCCAAGTGCTGGGATTACAGACATGAGCCACTGTGCCCTGCCGTGTTGGTTTTTCTTAACCATGACAAATGTGTTTTGAAAAGACCCTTAGCTAATAAAAATGATTTTGCCAGTAAAATAGTAATATATCTGAAGTCTGTCATTATTTGTCTTATCAAGCAAATAAGGTATGGTGGATTTCAACCAAGGCTACAAATTATACCAGATGTTTCAGGATGAAAATGTTAAAATTGATGAGAAGAACAATTATAATTAAATTTCTTATACCTTGTCCTAAATGATGGTGATAGGACGCAAGCATTTTGTTGTTTTTATTTGCTACAAGGAGGAGTTTATGGCCTACTTTGTTTTCGATTAGTCAAAATTAGTGAAATTAAAAGCAAGCAAACCTTCATCTAGCCCAGCGATGGGGACAGAATGATACTAGCTGGCAAAATAATAATCATTATTTGTCTTTTTTAAGCAGTCAGTTCTTAAGGAAGTTCAGTACTTGTGTAATCATTTAGGCTTGCTTCTCTTTCTCTGTTTATCTCTGTCACCTAACTTGATTCTACTTCATTTATGGAGCACATTTTTATCGGTACCTACATATATTTATTCTATGCATTTTGAACATTGAAAATTAAAATGACTAGTAAAACATAGTCTTTCAAGAATCCTTTGCATGCTATCCCCATTTTGTGCTAAAACCTTCCCAGAACTAGATTTTTGTCATGGGGGCATTTTTGTATGGGTATGTTTGGATGTCAGAATTAAACCTAGATTGAATTTGTTGCTACCTCAGGAGATTTGTTTTTAACATACATAACAGTAACAATAAAATAATATATGTAGGCAGCTCTTTGGGTAGTGCAATCTTTCTGATATTGGTTAGGTTTTGAGAAACTGGTGTGTTTGTTGTATTTTTAATCTCAAGTAGTCCAAAATTGCTAATTTAGATGCCAGATCTGAATCATTAAGTGGTTATTTAAACCCACCAATCCAGACATCTCCTTCTTGAACGTTATTTACCTTAACAGAAACTTAAAGATATCTTCAGCAGGTGATTGTTGAGAAGAAATTCTGAGTAATTATTGAGGAAGGTCATTGAGACAGGTCAGCTAGAAGTGGACACACAGCCTGCCTAATAATTGGATGGATGCTACCTGGCTGGAAGATGGAGCTGATTGGTGGATCAAAATCTCAGAGGGACACCTTCCATTTTTAGCTTAAATGTTAATTAAAATTATATTCCAGTTAAATACTGTTACACTGTATGCTGCTATTTAAACTATTAAAAGTGAAATGATCACTAATGATTATTAATTCCATACTGAAAGATGATGTAAGCGATCTCTCTTATGTGAGATATATTTGAGTGGTACTTAGTAAACATCTTTATTTTAAAACAAACTTTTAAATTATAATATGTCCAAAGATAGACCACAACATATCTTTAAAATAAGTGGTTTTCATTTTGTTTATTTGCTGAAACCTATCTTTTTATATCTTTAGGTGTATGTGAGATTAAGACCATTCTTCAGGGAATTCCTAGAACGAATGTCTCAGATGTATGAGGTAAACAAGCTTAAGCTGATTACATGTGTATGTTTATTTTATTCAATATAGTACCCATATTTAGATCATGTATAATGATTACTTCTTTTCCCCTGAATTTATAGATCATTCTTTTTACTGCTTCTAAGAAGGTGTATGCAGACAAGTTACTGAACATACTAGACCCTAAAAAGCAACTGGTCAGGTAAATTTAATTAAGAAATAGTGGAAATGTCTGTCACACTGATCTATGAAATTACTGATTCTATTTAGTTTTAATGGCCATTTTCAGTTGGCTGCATATATAGAGATTTATTGTGTTGAATGGTAAAAATAAACGAATTTTTTTAAGCCCTGAAACTCTTTAATAGAGTTTCTAATCATCTACCTCCAGACAGACGTTCTTAAAAGAATACAAAGATGGAATGTATTTTATTCAATGTGACATCTATATCCTCATTTCTTTTGGGTCGGGGGGGAGTTGGAGGGTGGGGGATTGTTCAGAATTTTTTCACTATGTGCATGATGTTTCACCTCCTTATATGTCGAAGATAATGCATGTTGTATTACCTTTTTAATGGCAAAGAGAAATAAAAGTTAATTTTCAACAGAAAGGATCAAATTAAACTCTTTTGCTTTGTTTCAAGAGTAAATTTATCTTCCATGAAAAGGAAATGTCACAGGAATCTAATTGGAAATTACAGTTGGATTAGTCAGTGAAGCTATTCTGATCTGGACTCTGTACCTTGTATGTGCCTCGAGCAGCAGATGCATTGTGTTCTGGTTAGGTGGGAGTTCTTTGGGTGATTTTAAAACATTTTGAAAATTAGCTGTATTATTTATGTTAACTGAAGTGACATAAAGATTACAGTATTCTTGCTGTATTCTCTAAGGGGTAGGAGTAGTGTTTGAGTTTTTGATCAAAAGCTGAGAGGAGGCTTGGCACCTGTGGCTCAAGTGCTAAGGCGCTAGCCACATACACCTAAGGTGGCGGGTTCGAATCCAGCCCTGGCCCTCCAAACAGCAATGACAGCTGCAACCAAAAAACAGCCAGGTGTTGTGGCGGGCACCTGTGGTCCCAGCTACTTGGGAGGCATAGGCAAGAGACTCCCTTGAGCCCAGGAGTTGGAGGTTGCTGTGAGCTGTGATGCCACAGCACTCTACCCAGGGGGATAGCTTGAGGTTCTATCTCAAAAAAAAAAAAAAAAAAGCTGCGAGGATAGGGCGGCGCCTGTGGCTCAAAGGAGTAGAGCACCAGCCCCATATGCCAGAGGTGTTGGGTCAAACCCATCCCCAGCCAAAAACTGCAAAAGCAGAAAAGAAAAAAAAAAAGCTGAGAGGATACAAAGTCTCATTTAAAAAAAAGAAGTTTTAACAGCTGGATGTGAATGTCCTCGAATACTTTTCTCCATATTATCTTAATGGGAAATCCTAAACTGAATTTTCTAGTGTTTGTAATACCTTTATTATTTTGTGGTTGTAACTACACTGAAAGGCTTTACCTAATGTACATATTTTAGAAGTTTTTTCCTTCTAAGTAGGACTGTATTTTATTTTTATTTTTTTAACGTAAGGATCAGGGTAAGCTGATCTTTTATTTTTCTAACGTAAAGATCAGAGTAAGCTGAAGATAACACAAATAAGAAATGTTATTTTCTATTCACAAAAGTATATCATAATTTATGCTGATTTTGCTGTTCTGGGGAATAGTAGTGAGCAACAAACCTTTTCCTCTTGGAGCTTTCATTTTACCGGAGAACAAATCATAGTCATACTATTACAATGTGTTTTAATAACACTTCTTTTAAACTAGATTTATAAGTTCTACACATTTGGGAGTTTTCATTTTGTTTTAACAGGTTATATTTTGAAAAATGTAAAACAAGAAGAACTTTTTGAACAGTAAATTGAATTTGCTTGAACACTAGGGAATTTTCTCTATTGGTAAAAAGGTAGATTCTGGAAAACTAAAGTAATCTCTGAATCCTGTGAGTTTCAAATGCAAATTGGAGGACCTGCTAAAACATGGCTGGCATCTGGTTTTTTATTTTGTTTTGTTTTTTTCTTTTTCTGAAACTGCAGATAATGTGTACATGCAGATTGACCCTCAGATTACCAAATAGCTGGAGCGATTTTAGTGTAATTTAATTGTGATAACCATGGTTATCTATATACATGTTCACTTTTCTCTTGCCTTAGCAAGTTTGCTACTGTTGGCAAGGAGGCACCAGTATGAGTTGTATTTATATGCTTTACCTGCCTCTCCAATTTCCTCACATCTAAATATTAATAGAAATAAAGGAGGAAAACTTACCTGGGCCCAGCCAAGACTTAAATTATCTAGTCTTCTATTTATTTCAAGATAGGGTTGTCTTAAATCTTCTAGAGGCAGATGATCATTTAACTGTGATTACTAAAATATTCCTTATAAGAAAGAAAGAACTCTTTGTAAAATTCTTCCTCCTTGCCATTACCACTGACACTGATACTTTTAAGGTTGAGATTGTATTTGTGTGTGTATGTGTGGGTTTTTATTTTACTTGCTTAATTTTGGTAGCACTGTGTCATATTTTACGTGTAGAAAATATCCCTTTCTTGAACTTTTGTAATTAAAAATATACATATGAGTAGGCTCTACTTCCTGAAAGTTGTTCAGTGGATTTAAGACACAAGGGAAACAAATTCTGCATATAGAATGGTATATTTTTTTAAGGTGAAAAACATCAATATATCTGTATCAATTATAAGTAATGTTCAGAGACTAATATTTTGAATACAAATTGAGACTGCATAATTACTGTGGTATGTAATTTACTATAAAACTTTTAATAGCTTTCTAAAACTTTTTAGCATATTTCTATTTAGTATCTAAAATTGGTGAAACATCAGTTTACATTTATAATACTTAAATCTGGATTCATCATTTCATTTAATCCCTGTCTTTTCAAATGATCATATACACACTAAATTAGAAGAAATAGGGGTGTTTAGGAAGAGTTTAAATGATGGAATGTTTTGGCCTTAGTACCTTTTCTCTAAAATTATAAAGAAAACTAAAAAACACTTAAAAAAATGCCAACACAAAAACATTCCTTCTTATATTTTCTATTCTGGCATGTACAGGGATAGGGAGGCTGTGTGGTCTACTGGTTAGAGCAAAGGACTGGGAGCCAGGAGGATCCTGGGTTTGAATGCGGGGCTAACCACTGACTTACTGTGTGACCTTGGGCAAGTCACTTGACCTCCTTGTGCCTCAGTCAACCATCTGGAAAATTGGTTAAAAAGCAGGACCTCGCTGACAACCAGATGCTGCATCTGAGCTGAGCTTTTCTGGGTAAATAAACTACAAAAACAATTTAGAATTTTTAATCCCCCTTTATAATTTAGTAGTATAACATTTCAAGATAAACTGAAGTTTTTAAAGGCATAGTAAGTTTGGATTGTAAGGTTTCAATAATTGCTAAGAATTTTTATAGTAAAATGGTAGCCCAAAGCTTAGGCCCACATTTGTATTTGAATTTCCTTTGAGGGAGAGAATAATAAGGCTTATCCACAAAGCCTGTGGCATATGTATGTATATATGTTTCAGTATATGCTATACTTGTTAGAGATTCTTTTTTTAGAGATTGTTGTTTTTATTTTTATGTTTAGGCACCGGCTTTTCCGTGAACATTGTGTGTGTGTACAAGGAAACTACATAAAAGACTTAAATATCCTTGGAAGAGATCTTTCAAAAACTATAATAATTGACAACTCACCACAAGCCTTTGCATATCAGGTAGGAAGATACTGTTAAAATCAGATTGGAGGGCAGCTCCTGTGGCTCAGTGGGTAGGGCGCCAGCCCCATATACCAAGGGTGGCGGGTTTGAACCTGGTCCTGGCCAAATGCAACCAAAAAAATAGCCAGGCATTGTGGTGGGTGCCTGTAGTCCCAGCTACTTGGAAGGATGAGGCAAGAGAATCGCCTAAGCCCCGGAGTTGGAGGTTGCTGTGAGCTATGATGCTACGGCACTCTACCAAGGGCAATAAAGTGAGACTCTGTCTCAAAAAAAAAACAAAAGAAGAAGGAACTATAAGCTATGTCATTTAATAACATTCTTATCAGTTATTAAATCACTAATTTTATCATAAACATGTTTGAGAATGATACAGGTAATTAGCTTTAATTATGTTCTGTTTATTTGATATAAAATTCTGAGTTATTTTCTTAGACTATTCTGTCAATACATTTTACTCTTTATGAATATTGCTTTGTAATATAACTGCAACTAAAGATGAGCTACCCTTGCAAGATACATTTTACATTATGAGTATGTCCATGTGATAAGATTTCTGAGATTTTGCTTCACAGTAAACTGATATATAATAGGGATGATGGAGTAGATGGAATGTAGATGAAAACAAGATTATTAGCTCTTCTGTGTTTTCAGGGCGGTTTCTGTGGGTAGGGTGCTCGCCCCATATACCAAGGGTGATGGTTTCGAACCTGGCCCTGACCAAACAAATAGCCGGGCATTGTGGTGGGCGCCTGTAGTCCTAGCAACTCGGGAGGGTGAGGCAAGAGAATTGCCTAAGCCCAGGAGTTGGAGGTTGCTGTGATCTGTGTGACACCATGGCACTCTAAGAAGGGCGATAAAGTGAGACTTTGTCTCTTTTGGAAAAAAAAAATTCTGTCTTTCAAAGTATCTATAATAAAAAGCAAAAAAGGAACAACTACATAATGATATTGAAGTGTGCCCAATTTAGGTCCCGACTTTTATTTGCTTGCCTTTTAAAATACGTTTTTAAGAATTTCATCTTGGGGCTCAGCACCTGTTTCTCAAGTAGCTAAGGCACCAGCCACATACACCTGAGCTGGAGGGTTTGAATCTAGCTTGGGCCCTCCAAACAGCAATGAGGGCTGCAACCAAAAAATATCCAGGCATTGTGGTGGGTGCCTATAGTCCCAGCTACTTGGGAGGTAGAGGCAGGAGAATCGCTTGAGCCAGAAGTTGGAGATTGCTGTGAGCTTTGATGCCATGGCACTCTGCCCAGGGTGACAGCTTGAGGCTCTGTCTCAAAAAAAAAAAAAAGAATTTCATCTTGGGGGCAGCACCTGTGGCTCAGTGAGAGGGGTGCAGGCACCCTATACTGAGGTGGCAGTTTCAAACCCAGCCCCCACCAAACTGCAACAAAAAAATAGCCGGGCCAGGCATTGTGGCAGGCACCTGTAGTCCCAGCTACTCAGGAGGCTGAGGCAAGAGAATCGCCCTAAGCCCAAGAGCTGGAGGTTGCTGTGAGCTGTGACACTACAGCACTCTACCAAGGGTGACAAAGTGAGACTCTGTCTCTAAAAAAAAAAAATTTCATCTTGAGGCTCAGCACCCATAGCTCAGTGGCTAGAGTACTGGCCACCTATCTCAGGGATGGTGAGTTGAAACCAGGCCCAGGGCTTCTAAACAACAATGACAACTACAACAATAAAATAGCCGGACGATGTGTCAGGCACCTATAGTCCCAGCTACTTGGGAGGCTGAGGCAAGAGAATCACTTAAGCCTAAAAGTTTGAGGTTGCTGTGAGCTGTGATGCCATGGCACTCTACCAAGGGCAACGTAGTAAAACTCTAAGAAAAGAAAAAGAATTTCATCTTGGTTCCTAGATAGAATCTTTTCTGTTATCTTCTATCTCACATTTAGCCTAAATTTTAAATTATATTTTTTTCCCAGAGGTTATTTATTAAGAAACATGAGATTTGCATTCCTGTTTTTAGACTCTACTACTCTACTCTTTCACTCAGTGAAATACCATTTCAATTTTTTGTGTTTCTACTGTTTTGGGTTATTGTGCTACTTATGGGAATAGGATAAAAATGGGACGACAATCCCTGAGTTTAAAAAATAAAAGTATGTGTGTTCTAGTTTTATTCTCTATTTAGACTGACAACATCTCTTCATTCACAATGACTAGAATTGTAGTAATTCATTGCTTTTTTAATGAATAACAGAATGTTTTAAATTATGTCAATGATCCTTGCAGAACTTGTTTTAATGCAACTTGCTTTAGTTCTATATACACTGAGAAGAAATGACACTGAAAAACCAATAGGCTTGAAGTTTTTTCTTTTTAGAGACAGAGTCTCACTTTGTCACCCTTGTAGAGTACTGTGACATCAGAGCTCACAGCAACTTCCAGCTCTTGGCTTAGGCGATTCTCTTCCCTCAGCCTCCCAAGTAGCTGGTACCACTGGTGCCCACCACAACGCCTGGCTATTTTTTTGTTACATTTTGGCTGGGGCTGGGTTTGAACCCGTTACCCTTGGTAAATGGTGCTGGCACCCTGCCCACTGAGCCACAGGCACTGCCCCTAGGCTTGAAGTTTTTTAATGTGTGTGAATTGTCAATAAGAAGTCTGGTGATATTCCTTTGGAAAGGAATTTTTAGAGCAGTGTTTACTTAAATCTGTTGTTTCATTTTTAACCTTTTAAAAACTAGGCAAAATACAGGTAAAAAGAGGATTTAATTACTTATTTGTCATTTTAGCTTTCTAATGGAATCCCTATAGAAAGCTGGTTTATGGATAAAAATGACAATGAACTCCTAAAATTGATTCCATTTCTGGAGAAGCTTGTAGAACTGGTAAGTATATTTTATAATTTATCTTTTTCTATTGTGTTTTTATTGAAATAAATCTCCTTTTCAATTTCTTCATTTTGTAGGTACTGACGTTTAAAGTCCACTATGGGCTTGGTGCCCATAGCACAGTAGGTTATGGTGCCAGCCACTGTGGCTGGCTCAAGCTGTCCCCCTGGGTAGAGTGCTATGGCAGCACAGCTCATAGCAACCTCCAACTCCTGGGCTCAAGCGAGTCTCCTGCCTCAGCCTCCCAAGTAGCTGGGACCACAGGCGCCCACCATGATGCCCAGCTATTTTTTGGTTGCAGCTGTCATTGTTGTTTGGCAGGCCAGGCTGGATTTGAACCTGCCACCTTAGGTATATGTGGCTGGCGCCTTAGCCACTTGAGCCACAGGCCCTGAGCCATGAGCCACAGGCACCAAGCCTGAGGCTGGTGTGTTTGAACCTGGCCTGGGCCTGCTAAATAACAGTGACAGCCTCAACAACAAAAAAAAAAACAGCCAGGTGTTGTGGCAGGCACCTGTAGTCCCAGCCACTTGGGAGGCTGAAGCAAGAGAATCACTTAAGCCCAAGAGTTTGAGGTTGCTGTGTGCTGTGATGCCATAGCAGTCTACCCAGGGCGACATAGTGAGACTCTTATCTTTAAAAAAAAAAAAGTAAAGTCCACTATGATCATGATCATGGTTGCACATCCTATAGTCCCAGCTAGGTAGGAGGCAGAGGTAGGAGAATCATTTGAGTGATTTGATCACTCAATCATTTGATCACTCCCATCCCTATAAAATATATTAATAAAGTCAGCCATGGTGGGAGATTGAGGCTAAGATTAAAAAGCATTATGTGTATTTTTTTTTACTTTATAAATTAAATTAAAATTATACTTACTGATTGAATGTTTGGTGGTACTGTTTCAGTAGGCTTCATTACTAACTGCTTGTGTTTGAAATAACATTAATTTGATTTCATTTTGCTTTCATAATTGACATCTAGAATTAATACTATTTATTTATTTATTTTGTAGTTTTTGGTCGGGGCCAGGTTTGAACCCTCCACCTCTGATATGTGGTGCCAGTGCCCTACTCCTTTGAGCCACAGTCACTGCCCTAGAATTAATACTATGCCACTGAAACTTTTTCCAGGAATTATTTTCCTATAACCATGAGTCAGTTAACTTAAAAGACTAATGTAGAAAATAGAATTCAGTGGCTTAACCCCCCTTTCATCTATCTTTTGGTTTGACCTCTTACTGTTTCATTGGTCTTAGGAAGTTAAACTTTTTATTTTGGAGACAGAATCTCAGTATGTCACCCTCGGTAGGGTGCAGTAGTGTCACAGCTCACAGCAGCTTCAAACTCTTGGACTTAAAAGATTCTCTTGCCTCAGACTCTCAGGTAGCTGAAACTAAAGGTGCCCTCCACAAGGCCCAGCTATTTTTTGTTGTTGTTGCAGTTGTCATTGTTGTTCAAGTGGCCTGGGCTAGGTTCAAACCTGCCAGCCTTGATGCATGTGGCCGGCACCATAGCCACTGTGCTACGGGCGCCCAGCCAGGAAGTTAAACTTTATTTTTTTTTTTTGAGACAGAGTCTTACTTTGTCACCCTGGAAAATAGTGGTAGATTCTCTGTAGAGTAGGAATGTTTATAAATGTTATGAGGGTCATATCTTTGAAATTATGTTCCTTACAAATACTATCTCCTTTTCTACACAGAATGAAGATGTTCGACCTCACATCAGAGACAGATTTCGCTTGCATGATTTGCTGCCCCCAGATTAAGTACAAAGACTTGTCAAATCACTGAAGGGGGAGAGAATGCAGGACCCTTTTGGACTAAGAGAAAAACATTGCCATTACTGTTGAAATTTTGCATTTTTGTACCCCGTCTTGCTTTTCTTATCTTTGGTGCCCAATAATAATCAAGGGTTACAGAAAGAGACTTTATCTATCTCAGATTGAATACATACAGTAGGTAGGCTAAAACAGAAGAGTCTTTAGAACTAGTGCAACTCCAGTGAAATTTTTTTATGTACAGGACATCTGCAGTTTATAAAGAATTCTGTTTCTGCCACCAGCAGTTTGACCTGTAGTCACACAGGATTTTATGATAACAACAGAGATGAAAATGGACTTTTATTTTCTCTCTGTTTGGTGCTCTAAGTGGGTTTGTAGCCACTTTTCTGTTACTTTACAATTCTCATTTCAACAGGAATGGCCAGTAAAAGTTGTTTTATTTTTCCTGTTAAGGTTTATAACCTTTTTACATTTTTGACCTATATTAGATTAGAATTTCATTATGCATTCCTTTTAGTTGAGGCGCTTCGTAGTTTTCTGGAAATAGTCAATTTTTAGTTTTTTATTATACATTTGAATGGCCGTTTTCCTGCTTTGTCTGCCTGCATATTGTATATTTGTTTAAAAATACTCTATTTTAGTCCGTGTAAGTTTCATTTAGAAGACATGCATTTATATTTTGTTTCTGTAATATTCTACTGTAGGCGAAATCTTTTCAAAAATCAAGAGACTGGGTAGATAAGAATATATGAATGACTTAATATTCAAAAGATTTAAACCATTGTGATGGCGTGTATTCCCAGATGGTAATATCTTGCAATGGCACAGATTTAATGGATAAAGGTATACCTCAGACTTCACTGTGCTCACCAATCTTTGAGGAGAATGAGTTTGGTCACCTCTTGGGCTTGATTTAGTTACTGCTGCCTTTGGTTTTCTCCAGGAATGAAGTATTCAGCACAGTGACTCAGTATTTTTAGTTATTTTGCATGGGCTGGTAGTACCTCTGTTATGCTCTTGGTTACAATCAATTTAAAACTCTGTGTAACAGTCTTGGTACCTAACAGTAGCTATGCATAATCCTGTGGCACAGTACACTCCCAAGCCACCAATGCAGTTAATATGCTCTCATAGTGGTTTTTCTATGCTATATGAAAATAGTCTTCAAGCCTTGGTTCTCTAATGCAGCTACCACAAGAGGATGATATTTTTATAGTGGCGTGTAATCTCCTTTTCAGGAGGCTTTTTATGGAAGGTAGAATTTGTAAAAGTTAGTATGCTTTGCCTCTTAACTGCATTAACATGCCACAGGCTCAGACTGTTTTTATGTAAAGGATGTCAAAGAACAGCACTTTTTCTAAAGAGAAGTTTGATATTTTGTATGCTTGTTGAGAAAGTACAGTATTGGAAATTAAAGGTGGACAACTGATAATTGAGGAGTATGTCAATTAATTTTTTATGTATATTACCTGTTTACTTGTACAACTTACTGTACAAATTACATGCAGCTTCATTTTCAAATGAATCCTTAAAATAAGGAAATCTTTTTAGGAAAACATTTAATTTTTGTATTTTTGATTTTAAAGGCATGAGTTATGTCAATTTTCAGTGTATTAATGAAGATTTTAACTTTTCATCAGGTTGTGTGTTTTCTTACTATATTATCTGTTGTGTATGTAGTTAGCATATTGTGTCACTGAAATGTTTAAAAATCTAGCATGTAGAGCAAGCCTGTTTTGTGGAAAATCCTTACTCATTAAAAAAATAATCATGGCAGATTTTCTGCGAAAAAAAGCAAAAGCATTTGCAATTCGGAATACTGATTTTTTTTAATTTAAAGAAAGGTATTTTGCTTGCAGGAAAAAATACTACAGATTCATTTTAATGAGAATCTTTGAAAATGTATTTATCTTTAGGGCATATGGGCATCTTTATGCTGTTTGTCTTCTGTCTTTCTTGAAATAAAATGTACATACGTTACCTTTACATATGCTCTTGCTCAAAATTGTGAACCTAGTTACATTTCTCCCTACTCCCCTCCTTTTTATGCTCAAACAGCAAAACCCAAAACCTATACAAGATCTGAACTTTCAGCATACATTATGATTGCTGAAAGTTTTCCTGATTAAGTAAATACAGTCTCAAAGGGCTCTCCCATAATTTAAAGGGAAACTAAGCACCTATACTGTTGTGCCTGTAGGCACTTTATTAATAAACATAATTTTTAAAATTAATCATCTGATTGATGGTAGAGAGTTGTTTTTGATCCCTCACTAGGAGAGAGTTCCTTTAATTCGGCTATATATTTTTCTTCATTATTTTATTTGGATTGTTTTAAATTTTTAATAAAGAATTTAAGCAGTTTATAGAGAGACAATTTAGTCAGCTTCCTTCAAACTTAATAATGTTTTATCTTCCCATTATCCTTTTTGTCTTTATCTGTTGGTAGACGTTAAACACTTCCGTTTGGTTAATCGGAGGTGTATATTTTTTGAATTGAGATGTGCCCAGCCCCTTCAGCTCACACAGGAAATACAAACTCTTAAAAAACTGATCTGTAGTAAATTCAGGAGAGATTGATACCTGATGAGACACAGCAAAAGTGATACACATTATAATTCTGAAGTACATATTAAACTTGTGCTATTTCCAGTGGTAAATGTCTGCCTTTTAAGAAGTTCTTTTAAATATTTGTATCATTGTTAGGATGTTTTAATCAGTTGTGTTTTTTAATTCCATGTAATATATGTAGCCCTAATCAGATTTATATCACCGTATTTCTCCTTGGGTCCTAAAAGAGAATTGATGACAGTTCGTAACCATAAGTTGTTTTATATTAGCTAGTATGTATATTTATTTACTCGATGGCTTTATCTGTTTCCCCCAAATTGTTGGGGATTTGTGGAAAGCATTATGTATCTTCTATAAATGGCTATTTTCTTGTAACTGTCAGTGAAATGGATGTGTACCTTTTTTTTATATATATAAATATTTTTCTTTTTTCTTTCTTTTTTTTTTAAGTGTTAACAACAGAATGTTTTTTTTTAAAAGGTATCTTTGGCCAATGACTTTTTCAGCTAGTTACCATTTTCATTCAACCTTCTAAAGAAGTTTATTTCTCGTTGTTCTATTCGGTCAACTTGCCTGAAAAACAGAGAGACTTCATCTCATCAATGAGGAAAGCATTTCATTGTACCTACAAATCTTTCCAGCGAGCACAGAATTCTTCATAAGGACCAGATCTCTTCCACGTCTGTATCAATCACATAAAGCTGAAATGTAAAGGACACTGAAGCCTTCATATAATTGTACTAATAAGATGGTGTTAATACTACATTATTAGCTAGTTGAGGTTTTCTGACCTGACTTCTCTTTGTCTTCATAGGTATTTATTTGTTATCTCTCTTAAATCTTGTGTATCTAAATTAACTTAGTTAATAGTTACCCACTGAATAACTATGCCAAGCAACTAGGAAAGAATGTTTATTTTATTTCCCCTTATAGGGGAAGAGTGGACTGGGAACAAAAATGTATGGGCCAAAAGGCCTTTGGTTGTCATTCATTCACTTTTTTATTCCTCTCATGAGCTATATTTGAGTATAGTATTTTTTTAGTGATGTGTGTGTCATTACTTTCATGTCTTCCCCTGAATTGAAAGTCTACAAAGGAACCTATATAACATGCATATAAGATTTTCAGAATAAGAACCTCAAAACTCAGTATCTTACATTTAAATGCTACTTAAATTATTATTGGAATCCAAGTCTCACTAACTAGGATACATTTTTATAAAATGTTTCTCTGTATCTTGAATTAAAATTACTTGCTCAGAGGCAAGAGTTCTGGGGATATTACACATTTTGAGATCTTTTTAAAAAGGAGGATAGAAAAACAAATTTATACTAGTTTATGGTTTTGACAGTAGCATTATAAAATAAATCAGTGGTTCCTAAACTTGACCATCCTTTAGAATTACACCAAGGAGCTTCTAAAACACAGATTTCTGGGGCCTGCCTCTGGAAAATTGTCTTACTGGGTCGATAGTTGATGCTGAGAATTTTGTATATCTTTTTAAAACTCTCCAAGTGATTCTAAATAGTTGAGTTTGGGAAATCACTGTTTTAAGTAATGTGACGGTGTTTTGAGAGTAGGCAACAGAATATAAGTTTACCAGACATCTCTTTTTAGTAGGGTTTTCTTTTCTAAAAGTGGGACCACATTTCACAGAACTTATTCAAGATACATGGAGGAATAATAAAGAAGATTGAGGCTACTGCTCATTTTCATTTTTGTCTTTCATACTTTTTTAAGACTTTGCATTTCTAGGACTTGGAATAGTTGATCATATATACAGCTGAAGGACATGTCCCTGACTGAGACCATTATATATAGTAACTGTAAAATATTTCACTATTTTTTTATTTTATAAATCTTTTTAGAAATAAGCAATGAAATACTACTTTCATCTTTTGAAATGGGATTTTTCAAGGCAATGTCCTTTGGCGTTAAGGTAGGGGGGAGTTATTATTCTCTCTACCCTGTTTCCATGTGAATCAATATAAAGTCATGGACATTTAAAAATCTCAATTTAATTTCTACTTATTTACTATGCAGTATAGCCGTGAACAAGTAATGTAGATTTAGTTTTCTCATTTTCAAATGCCCTTATCACCCTACCTCACAGGGTTGTTGTGGGGATAAATAAAACTTTTATGGAAGCACTTTTCTTTGATTATGTTTTATCGGCCACCAGAAACAATATAATTTAGTTATCACTATAATATGCTGTTTCCCAATGCCTTGGCATTCTTGTATAATGTTTCTCTATAAACACAAAGCTTTCTCTATTTTACTAATTTAGCCAATAAAATATTCTTATAAAATGGTATAGTAACAGGTCTAGATTTAAACTCTTAAGGAGGGGTGGTGCCTGTCGCTCAGCACCGTCCCCATATACCGAGGGTGGCGAGTTTGAATCCGGCCCGGCCAAACTACAACAAAAAATAGCCAGGCGTGGTGGCGGGCACTTGTAGTCCCAGCTACTCGAGAGGCTGAGGCAAGAGAATTGCCTAAGCCCAAGAGTTTGAGGTTGCTATAAGCTGTGACATTATGACACTCTACTGAGGGCAACATAGTGACACTTTGTCTCAACAACAACAAAAAAAAAAAAAAATGAAGAGATAAGATGGCAAGAAGTTAGCAGATTATAGTGAGCTAAGATGAGGAATTTATATTTGATGTATAGGCTAAAATAACTTGAACCAATGTAACTACAGAATAGCACTCTGGTCCCATTTCAGTCTTTATGATGAGTTTTTTTTTTCTTTTTTTTTTTTTTTTTTT